CGGAACTAAAGGTCTAACTTTTAGTACTAATATTTAGTAACACTAATATTCTTGAATAATTATTTAGTAACACTAATACTTCTTGAATAAGTAGTTTCACCACAGTTTGACCAGATTTGACCAAAATTGAAAAAAAACTGAAATCGTATGCAAAAGTTATATTATACGTTTTTTGAAGTTTCCTTGTAGAATAACTTTCTTCCATAGGCCGCCAAATTTGACCAGATTTGACCATCTTGAATAACTTTTCTTGCTTTTAGAATTTGAGGATTCTAAAAATCGCAAACAAGCCATAGGCCGCCAAAGTCGGATGCGGATTTTCGTGCTGAACATTTTGATATATTATACGGTTGCCACATCTGACGGGGCTGGATGCGGTAGATCGTTTTGCAATCTGCCACATGGTTGCCAGATACATATTTCGATCAAATATATATTTATATAAACATATCACTCACAGTGATCGTCGACCATGACTAAACAATCAGACCGTTGACGCAACACAACACTAGGGTACATGTACGAGCGAAGTAGAACGAGGCGATAGTATTGAGAAGGCATTCTCATGGCTTGGCCCCTGGCTTTGGGAAGTGGAACACGGGAACAGTGGGCATCTGGGGCTTTGGTGGAAGCTCCACCTTTGGCATCTCGGGCTTCGGCGGGAGCTCCACCTTGGGCATCTCCGGCTTGGGTGGCAAGTGAACCTCCGGGAACGTCGGCAGCTCCACCTTGGGCAGCTCAGGCTTGGGTGGCAAGTGCACCTCAGGGACCGGTGGCAGCTCCACCTTGGGAAGCTCAGGCTTAGATGGCAGGTGCACCTCCGGGACCGGCGGCAGCTCCACTTTGGGAAGCTCAGGCTTAGGTGGAAGGTGTACTTCCGGTAACGGTGGAAGCTCTACCTTGGGAATCTGTGGCACCTCGGTCTGGTGCTCTTCCTGGGACGGAACGGTCTCCTCAAGGATTCTCGCCGCACTACTCATGGCCACGCATGAGAGAAGAAGCCCAAGGAGGAAGATAGCTGAGTTTTTCGGAGCCATAGTGTTAGACATGTGCAGCACCGGCTATCTCTAGCTGTGCAGTTTGAGTGTGGGAGAGATAGCTGGGGCTGCAGGCTACTTATAGGGTGCAAAAGTCGGTGAGGGGAGAGAGTACAGATTTTGCAACAAGTTTGTTCATCTACTTGTCTGCACTTTTGTCCATTGTATGTGTTTTTGAGTCTATATTTGTTCAAGGTTTGGGAGCGGCAGCACTCTGGTTCTTTGGGCTGCAGTTGTGGACGCAGTGAAGCTGCGTTCAGGGCAGGTATGACCGTTCAAAACATCAACAATGTTAGGTCAGCTGTGAAGACGAAACGTTGTCCAAGGGTTCCACAAAACACGCAATGCAAAAGTCAATAAACATTTTTTGCCGGAGCAAAACCAGCCTGGAGTTTAACAGGCTAACAATTAACTCGGAATATGAATCACAACATTGTTATAATATGTTGGTTTTTCAGAGTTTTGAGAGATAAGGGCGTCTTCAACGATGACCCGCAAATTTGCTTCGGCATTTCCGGTCAATTTTTTTTGCTCCGGCATCTGTCTGCGGACACTGATGCCGGAGGCCGCCATCCAACACTGCCCACATACATTTCAACAACGGTTCAAACTTACCCGCAAAAAAAAAAAAAAACAACGGTTCAAACTAATCAGACGAAATTCGTGCAAATTGGGCGGATTTCATTCAAGTTCAGATATAATTTACATAAATGGACGATTTTTTGATTATTTTACTAAAAATTAGTATTTAAAAAACTAAACCCTATATGGAGCGACCACCTGCCGTCGTCGTTGTCGTCCCTCCAGCGTCGCAAGGATGCCGAAGGGTTGCGGCAGCCTTGTCCGGCGGCTGCCTGCCGCTCGCGGAGGAGCCACTCCACCTCCTGTTGCGCTGTGCGGAGGGCCACCTTGGCCATTCCAGCGGAGCTGTCGGTGTCAAAACCGGCGGATCTCGGGTAGGGGGTCCCGAACTGGGCGTCTAGGCGGATGGTAACAAGAGACAAGGGACACGATGTTTTTACCCAGGTTCGGGCCCTCTCGATGGAGGTAAAACCCTACTCCTGCTTGATTAATATTGATGATATGGGTAATACAAGAGTAGATCTACCACAAGATCGGAGTGGCTAAACCCTAGGAGCTAGCCTATGGTATGATTGTTGTTCGTCCTACGGACTAAAACTCTCCGGTTTATATAGACACCGGAGAGGGCTAGGGTTACACAGAGTCGGTTACAATGGGAGGAGATCTTCATATCGTATCGCCAAGCTTGTCTTCCACACCAAGGAAAATCCCATCCGGACACGGGACGGAGTCTTCAATATTGTATCTTCATAGTCCTGGAGTCCGGCCAAAGGTCTTAGTCCGGCCATCCGGACACCCCCTAATCCAGGACTCCCTCAGTAGCCCCTGAACTAGGCTTCAATGACGACGAGTCTGGCGCGCAAGTTGTCTTCGGCATTGCAAGGCGGGTTCCTCCTCCGAATATTCCATAGAAGAGGTTGAACACCAGGGTGGTGTCCGGCTCTGCAAAATAAGTTCCACATCCCACCGTAGAGAGAATAATATTTGCATCAATCGAATCTACTGACTTTTATTCATTTTACCGTTCCACCTCAGCGCGTTTAGCGAGGCGGTTTCCTTGGCACGTCTTATCAAAGAAGAGATTGTGTCCCCTTATTCCGGGATTCTCATCAATACGGGCGTGGGTAACCCAACTGTGACTTAGGTATGACTCCCTAATTGAGAGCGAGTCTCAAACGGTTACGGGGAGGGCTCTTGGTATTCACCTCCTTTATAAAGGAACCAAGGCCCGGCTCCCTTCTTCTCAAACCAATCAAATCCGCCCCTCGCTTCGAGTTCCAACACCCAAAGCTCTAGTTTTAGGCGCTTCGGACCTTCGAAGATGTCCGGCTCCGACCTACAAGGCCGGTGGATGCCTTTCTCCATTACGGAAGAAGATGTGCGAAAGCTAAGAGATGCCCGGTATCTAACCAGCGAAATCTCACATAGACTGCCTACTCAAGGGCAAGCGGTTCCCGCTCCTCAGCCCGGTGAAAGCGTGGTGTTCGCATCTCACTTCCTTCGGGGGCTAGGCTTCCCGATCGATCCCTTTGTGAGGGGGCTTATGTATTACTACGGGCTGGAGTTCCACGACCTAGCTCCGGAGTCCATCCTCCAGATCTCATCATTCATTGTCGTGTGCGAGGCCTTCCTCCATATCACCCCTCACTTCGGATTGTGGCTAAAAACTTTCAAAGTGGAACCGAAAATGATTGAGGGGCAGCGCGCTGAGTGCGGAGGGGCTATAATAAGCAAGATGGACGACGCTCCATGGCCTGAAGGCTCTTTTCAAGAGGAGCTCGGCTTATGGCAATGGGACTAGTTTTACATCACAACCCCTAGGGGTACCACATGGGTGGCACCACCTACCTTTCGCTTGGGTCCCCCACCACGGCTAGCGTCATGGGTTAATGAAGGACTTATCTGGGGGCCGCCGAAAGACGTGCCCTTGCTGCAGGGCCGTATTCGAGATCTTCTAGAAAGAGATATCAATTTGACCGTAGTGGCGCAAGTCATGGTGATTTGCCGCACACTGCCCTGCAAACGTCGACCTCTCCGCCTGTGGGAGTTCAATCCGGAGGGACCACGAGTCCTACAACATTTCATGGGAATGACACCCATGGAGATGTACAAATTGTTCTTCGGATCACAAGCAAGGTGTCCGAATTTGTCCGAGGACGCAGGTCTGAGCTGCAATCGCCCGGATGCTAAAGTAAGTAGCCCCGTATTTGGATACACCATCCATATTTTTATCAAATCTACCCTTTAGCAGAGTTGTCCTTCGAACAGGAGTGGATGGCGAAGGCAAAGCTTATCAGGTGTCCAGCCCCCCTGCCCGAGACCGTTATGAATCCCATGCTGACCAGGATGCTGGAGGTCGCGCCATTGGCGGAAGGCGAAGGGGGGACCCAGGGAGCTACCGCCTCCACGAAGGAGGCCGTTAGGAAGGGAAGAATCGAAAATTCTCCTGACCAGGGAAAGAAAAGGACTGCCTCTGAAGACCCGGAGGTGATAACCTCAAAACGGGGAAAGAAATCTTCGTCAGAGGGTTTGGCACCGAAGAACGCCCCAGCCAAATCGCCCCCTAAAGGGGACCCGCTCTCCCCCGAGGCGTAAGTGAAGGGAGGGGTTCCATAATGAATCACACTCATGTTTTATTCCCGAGGAAAATAATCGAAACATTATTTTGCAGTTCGGATCTCAATCCTTCTGAGCAGAGCTCATCTTCAGGGGATCTTCGTCCGGAGATGATAGAGAGCGAAATGCCTCCCCTTGTTCCACCGTCTCACGAGGCTGGCGACCCCGAGGTATCGTCCCGGAGGGTTTTTTCAAGTCCGGGCCCTGGAAAAGGTCGTCAGACTAGTCCGGCACCC